GTGTGTATTTATATATAGATCATAAATACACACACATATATTATTTAAACACAAACTTTTATTTTGGATACGATTAATCGTGATTAATCGATTTGACAGCACTAGTAAATTTACACAATAATACATTTCCATTTAATTGCATTTAACATGCAAATACGTGTCTGAAAACAATCCTCATATTATTTTTAATAATCTTTTTAAGTATATTATTTACTTAATAAGTACTCTATTTAAAAGTAAGTAAGTTAAAGCTGCTTTGCTGAAGTTCAAAAAAAAAAAAGTTAATAAATGAAATGTTCTGTTTGATTTCTGTGTGCACCGCCACCACCTGGCTGTTTTTGAGCCCAAGAATGCTGTGTGAAGAAGTAGTAGTTCCAGATATGGTTTAGACAATAACTCTGTTTAATATGATATCATATCAGAGCTTTTCAGATAACTTTGCAAACTTCTATTGGAACATTCTGTATTGAAATGGATTGTAACAATTTAATCAGTTTGATCGCTCACTTACTGAAAATAGTAGGATATAATAGGACTTTTTCTATAATAGGTCTTTTCAAATCTGTCATAAATGAGTGGGTGAAGCCTCACCTGACTGTCCAATCCCAACACCAGAAGCATGAGAAAGAACAGCACCGCCCACAGCGGCGCTAAAGGCATTAGCGACACGGCTTTTGGATAGGCAATAAACGCTAAACCAGGACCTGAGAGAAAACCAGATCCACATGTTCATGTACCATGGTAAATTTCATGTATTTACCATTATAGTACCATGTCCAAAATCCTACTGTAGTAGTATGGTACTTTTTGTTCTTGTAATCAAGGAGAATGAAAGACCAGACAGCGTGATGAGGACAGAAGCATATCTCACCACTTTCTGCCACATTACTGATGTCAACGCCTTGTTCGGCCGCCATGAATCCCAAAACTGAGAAAACCACAAATCCTGCAAAGAAGCTTGTGCCGCTGTTTATGAGAGCCAGAATGAATGCATCCCTACAGTGGGAGAGAGAGAAATCATCGTGGGATTAGCATGTAGGATATATAGTAAAAATTATTGTATTGTTAAAAAAAAAAAAAACGCACTAAATGTTGCAATTAACTAAATTAATCAGGTAATGCTTGATGACACATTCACACAGAACGTTTTTACTTTGAAAAACGCGAGACACGAGGAGTGGAATGGGGGTCAAATGCGTTTTAGGTCTTGAGACAAGTTTTTAGAACACCGTGTCATGTGCAAGACGCTGCAAAAGACTGCAAGACGCGAGCGCAACGGGTATACACGTAGAAAATGCTTGTTTATATAGAAAAACAATGTAAAAGTAGCGCATTGGAATGGAAAAACGCGTTCTGTGGCCCCCAAGTGAGTTTAGCCAAAATTTAAAATCTTTACTATGCTAAAACAGACACAATTGCTCTCTCTATGCCCCCCTTATTCACATATCTTTATTTTTAATTTTACTATCTGTGTACTGTTGTTGTCTCAGAGTCTGCACTATAAGCTTTTTCTGTCACCAAAACAAATTCCTTGTGTGTGCAATGGCAATAAATCTCTTTCTGATTCTGACAAATAGTACTTATTCCTATACCCTTTACACAAAGAAAGAAGCTCAAAGAGTGGTTCAAATAAATATAATTTGAAACCGTATGGGACAGACAATGATTCTACACAGGGCCGTCGCTAGCGGGGCAAAAGGTGGTGACATTTCTACAGGAGTGCCTGAGAGCCCTCACAGACCAAAAGCCTTGTTCAAGAGGTATTGTATAGGCTAAGGGACACATATATTCAAGCATAAATAAACATACGTTTTCATTGTTGATGGGTTTTTCGTACCAAACTGGATCGCGCAAAATTAAAGCCCAGGGCCCCCCCCCGGGCTCTTGGTAGTCAAGGGCCCCTGGGCACTGGCCCCATTGGCCCGGTCAGTAATCCATCCCTGTCACTGTTGTACCTGCATGAATGGTCATGTGATATGCAGTTTTAGTTGTGTAGTGCAGATAAAGAATGTTTCTGAAACGCAGTGAAAACGCGAGTGTAGACGAGGAACGAAAACGCACTAGTGTAAACAGGGCCATAGAATCACCCACATATATCTGAACACGTGCAGCCATGCTCTCACCTGTGCCTCTGAGAGTTTGCTCCAGTCTGGTTTCAGGTAGTAAATAATGCCATTAACAGCTCCAGGCAGTGACACGCCATGAACAAACAAGACCACCAGGACCAGATATGGGAACACAGCTGTGAAATACACAACCTGCACACACACATACAGACACATTACTGTACTGCTCATATTTTTCCACCTATATGTAAAACCACTGTAGCTCCTGAAATAAGTATTACTGTCTGAAGCAGCACAGATTTAGGTTTATTATCACGTTTCAAAATCTTTTCTCTAACAGTCAAGCACTAGAACAAAACCCAGCACACACACACATCCGCTGGGAGAGCTAATAATCAGTGCTCTGGCCTTTGATCTATTTCCTCATGTTCACAACAAACATTCATAATAGTTTGGCTGATGTGTGTACAGTACGTGCATGTAAGGGATAATGTACTGCCAGCCATCATTACTGCAAAATAAACCCTAACAGGGTGATCAGGACCCTGACGTGAAGCAGATAATGAGCATCTGACTGTACATTATCCCACTTATTACACAGCTTCTTATCAAATAAATACAGGAAATATTGATTTGACTACGTGTAGATTAGCTTAAAACTTCCAATAAGGACAGCCCATTACAGAGTTATAACTTCCATTACAACATACAATCAACAAGCGAAACGCTGCAACAATATTACAATATTTATATATTATTAAATGATTTATATACAGTACCATTCAAAGGTTTGGGGTCAATGTTTTTGAAAGAAGACTCTTATGCTCACCAAAGCTGCATTTAATTGATAAAAAACACAGTAAAAACAGTAATATTGTGAAATATTTTTACAATTTACAATAACTGTTTTCTATGTTATTAAATTATAATGTATTCCTGTGATGTAAAGCAAAATTTTCAGCATCATTACTCCAGTCTTCAGTGTCACATGATCCTTCAGAAATCACTCTGATTTGATGCTTAAGAAACATTTCTTCATATTTATGTGGAAACCACAAGTAATTGTTTCAGAATTATTTGATAAATAGAAAGTTCAAAAGAACAGCTTTGATTTGATGTGTTTCATGTAATTTTAGATCACTTTAATGCAGTGTTTCCCAGCCACTGTGTAGTGTGCCGTGACAGGTTGCCAGGTGTGCCATGGAAAATTATAACTTCCTATCTCTATTATATTTTATTATTATTATTATTTTAAAACAGTGCTATTTGTCATCCTTATGTCTGTTTGAGGGTTTTACAAATATTTAACCTATGAAAAGCATTCAAAGGAGCTTGTGACTAAACCTTGTAACGCCATTGGATCATCAAACTGTCAGCGAAACCTCGTAACTCCACCCCCTCCTCCATTCAGAATGAAGTGCCACGCACAGTCTGGAATCTGGATATGGATCTCTGCTTGTTTGCAATGCAAGGGTAAATAAATAACTGATGTTTGAGTAAGTACAGCGTTTTCTTTACTCATGAAACACTATGTCAATAAAGGCTAATGTTTTTTGTGTGTTTGAAGAGTGGAGAAGTGTTAGCATTTGCCGTCTTGTTGTAGCCAATATACTTTGTACGTTTTAAATATCCTGTGCATAGCAGTTCATCTTTTATATCATGAGATTTTGGCCAAATGTATTAAACAACAAGAAAATCTGAGCTCCCATATAGTTACAATAAACTTTATAACCTGTAAGTTGATGAAAACGTAATGCGATGCACTCACTGTCTCAGTTGCGGCCGTTATACTGACGGACAAAACACATACCCGTGCCATTTGATAGTAAAAACCTTGTTAACTCCATTTGAGCATGACTTTCATAAAATGTTAAATGCAAGTGTCTGATAATATATATAAAGCCACAATACCAACTCTGACGACGCAGTGTAAAGCCTCGTACACACCGGGACGATTATCACACGAGCTTATCGTCAACGTTTATCGACGCGTCTTTTGTGTTCATACCCAAGCGATTGTCGCTGGCGATGAGCCGAGTGAACGTGCAAATTCACTCCCAGACATTAGATGGCGCTTAATGAAAAACAGAAATACACTATACTAATACACACATCGAATCCTATTTGATCTGCAATTCCTCTCCATAACAACTCCCTCTTATCGAGATTTTTGTAGTCACTGTCGCGTTTGTCATAAAGCCATTTGTGTTCAGGCACCAATGAGACCAGCAGTTTTACATTCATCTTGCCTCGATGCATCTTCTTGGTCTACTTACTTCCTCTTAGAGGTCTTCTCGGGTCCTAAAATCTGTACCCGACCCGAATCACTTCTTACCTGAACCCGACGTGCATAAATAATTTTTTTTTAAAGAAAAACCCGACCCGAGACAGACCCGATGAAATTAGACCCAAGTCTGACACGACGGCATTTATTTTCGAACCCGACTGGACCCGAACGGAAACCGCATTGACGTGTGTAGCCTACAGCCTGCAGCCCCCGCAGTCAGTCAGGAAAAATCCCGGGGTCCTGTTGACTGATTTGGCCACTTCTCCATTACTTTGATTTATTTAACATTTCTTCAATTTATTATTAGGTTACTTTATATTAGTGCCTGCCTGATGGATACAAGGTATTTCTGAGCTCCGTTTTAAATTACCCGAGACTCGAGGCCGCTAATACCGAACCCGACCCATGTCCGAGGTACTCGTCGAAGTTTTGGACCCGAACCCACTCGGGTCTCGTACCTCGGGTTTTCGGATCTAAGTGGACCCGTGAAGACCTCTACTTCCTCTTCGTCGTTAGGTATCAATGTGTTCTTGGCAAGACCGTTATGTGCTTGAGCGCCACCAAGTCGTGTTTTACTGTAACTTCAGCAGCTCCAGGCACGTGAACAAAAGCGCCAATCTCATTGGTCGGCCAGTTTTTAACACGGCGCGTCAAACCAAAAAAACGAGCCCGAGGCGTTTTTTAAAAAATTTCGCTTTTACGCCTCGCGTTTTGCGCGTCGGTGTGCACACTCTTTGTTTAGTCACGAGGCGTTAAACGTCGGCGATAATCGTGCGCGATATTCGTCCCGGTGTGAACAAGCCTTAATTATAAATTTTTTTTTTAAAAATTCCCCCTTTCTATCTTTTTTTGTTGTTGCTATATTTCAGTGCTTAGTGGTGTGCCGTGGGATTTTTTACTTAAAACTGTACCGCGCTAGAAAAAAGGTTGGGAAACACTGCTTTAATGCATCCTTGCTGAATATACATAAACATATATTTGTACCTTTCCAGCGGACTTAACACCCTTCCAGATGCAGAAGTAGACAATGACCCATGTAGCAAGCAGACACAAGACCAAGTAACCGTTGATGTCACCCACTTCACCCAAACCGCCAGACAGACGTAGAACTTTACGCCTGATCAAGAAAGAAACATTTTGTCAAACCAAAGTTAACACTTTAACTCGGCATTCCCAAAATTAAGCAAAAAGGTTTGAGCGACCATGCTATATTACAAATCTAATCACAGCTAAAGAACACAGATAGACACAAAACTTCTTACTTTCTACAAACGGTTAATACATACAATACATATAAATGGTTAATACACAAACAGTTGACGGTAGCCATTGACTTCTATAGTATTTTTTCTATACTATGGAAGTCAATGGCTACCGTCAACTGTCTGGTTCTTCAAAATATATTCTTTTGTGCTTAACAGAAGAAACAAACTCGCGGAAATTTGGAGCAACATAAGGGCGAGTAAATTACAGAATTTAAATTTTTGGGTTAACTATCCCTTTAAGAGCTTCAACAGCTCATCTGATGCCACAACATTTTCACAAAAGTCTCATCAAAAGAAGTAAAAATCTGTGCCAGGGCCTAATCAGATTGGAAAACGTTTCAAAGACACTTACTCCCAGAACTCCATAACAGATGATCGCAAACCCGTGTGCTCCAGACAGCTGGCACTGGTGTTGAGGGAGGAGACATTGGGAGGGGAAGGGGACAATGACTGATTGAGACACACGCGGCTGAAGTTAGTAGTACAGTTGACCGTGTTCCACTCATGTCCACATGTGGCCCACGGCAGAGGGGAAGTGAAGGAGTGAGCCAGAAAATACAGGCCCCACACCAGAACCATGATGTAGTAGGTGTTGCAGAAGAACACGATCACCATTGATGCCAGTCCAAGCCCTGGAGGAAAGAACGATACTGCCCTTCTTCAGCCTGCTTCAATACATGCTATGTCTCACGCTGGACAATATTAAAAGCCAGACAGATCAATATTCTGTTTTGCCATTAAAAATAAAGATACTTGCAGGCAGGATGAGGTATGGATCTGTTTAACTAGAGGTTGGCCAGGGCTGGGGTGTGTGCAAATGCATCTGGTTGTTAATAATACTCCACCTTTAAAAAGAGGCGCGATGTTCCATGAGGCGACCCCACCCTGTTTCATGAATTGACCCAGTGCGATCTCCAGGAAGAACACTGGAACACCTCCAACAAACACCATTAGGAGATAGGGGATCAGAAACACACCTGCAACACACAGGAAATGACAAGACTTTAGCAGACTTATAAACTGTTTATTACAGAGATAGTATACTTAAGTGCGAACTGAATGTAATGTTGTCAGACACTTGACTGCATGTTAATTGCAATTAAATGAAAATTTATTATATATTATATTTTCAACGCACTTAAGTAGGACTTTTAGTACATTTAAAATACATATACTTTAATTATAATATTGAATAACACTACAGTTCAAATTATAATCAAGTACTTTACATGTGCTTTAGTATTAGGGATGTAACGGAATGAAAACTTCTTATCACGATTATAGTGACCAAAATTATCACCGTTATCAGTATTATCACGGTATTGTTAAAATGTACTGGAGATGTTAAAAAAGTACCGACACATAAATCACTTCACCAAGTTTTATATTTAACAATGAGTTGTTCAAATCGTGGTAATCTAATACCGTTTTAATGATAATTAAAAGATGAACCGTAATACTAACCGTTGGGAATTTTATCATGATTTATCGTCAAACCGGTAATCGTTACATCCCTATTTAGTATGCTAGTTAACACATCAAAAAAAGTGTACTTCTT